AGACACATGAAAACACCAGTGAGCTGACTTCACCCTAAAGAGGTGACGGACATGTGGCCAGGAGTAGGCCTGAAGCACAGAAATTATTATAGTTATTCCTCATGTACTATTTGAAACTTTAAAGTTCTAAATTATAAAATCAGGCTAAGAAAGTCCAAGAGAGTTCTCCCTTTGCACCTTAAGAATAATTTGAACCTTTTTAGAGACTCAAACATCAATATTTTCTGATATGATTTTTATTTTTTTAATAAGTTATACATGACAATAGAATGCAGTATGATACATCATACATAAATGGAGTATAATTTCTCATTTTTCCGGTTGTACATGATGTAGAATCCCACAGGTCATGTAATCATATATGTACATAGGGTAATAATGTCTGATTCATTTTACTATCCTTCCTACCCTCATACCTCCTCCCCTATCTTCACTTCTCTCTACCTTATCTAAAGTAACTCTATTCTTCCCTAACGCCCCACCCCCTTATTGTGAATGAGCATCCACATATCAGAGAAAACTTTTGGTCTTTGTTTTTTGGTATTGGCTTATTTCACTTAGCATGATATTCTCCAGCTCCATCCATTTACCAGCAAATGCCATAATTTCATTCTTTATTAAGACTGAGTATTGTTCCACTGTGCATATATACCACATTTTCTTTATCCATTCATCCATTGGAGGGGACCTAGGCTGGTTCCATGGTTTAGCTGTTGTGAGTTGAGCTGCTATAAACATTGATGTGGCTGAGTGCAATATGCTGATTTTAACTCCTGTGGGTATAAGCCAAGGAGTGGGATGGCTGGGTCAAATGGTAGTTTCATTCCAAGTTTTCTGAGGAATCTCCATTCCATTTCCCATAATGGTTGTACCAGTTTGCCGTACTACCAGCAATGTATGAGTGAACCTTTTTCCCCACTCCTCACCAACATTTGTGGTTTGCTTGTATTCTTGACAACTGCCATTCTGACTGGAGTGAGATGAAATCTTAAGAGTAGTTAAACATCAATATTTTTGCAAAAAAATAAAATAAAATTTATCCCAGAATCTCTGATTTGGGTAGTAGTTAGGATAGGAGAAGTTTTGCTGCAGTAAAAATGAACTCGGAACACTTAGTTCTGAGTGTTTCACACCCATTCATTTGGGTTAGGCAGCCATGTTCAGCAACTCTCCTCCAAGTGGAGGCTCAGGAATCCAAGCTCCTTACATCCAGTGGTTCTGCCATCCACTAAAACCTTCATGGGACTCTTTACTGAACATCTGTATTTGGCTGTCCAATCAGCAAAGAGAGGCCACTGATTGCACAGCAGTTTCAGAAGTTAGGACCAGATTGAGATATATTATATCCACCTACACTGCATGAATTCTCAGCCCTATCTATATAGTGAAGAGAGGCTGAAAAATGTAGGAGTACATGTGTATTAGTTTCCTATTGCTGCTGTAACAAATTACTACAAACCTGGTGACTTAGAACAACATACATTCATTCTCTTATTATTATGTAGGTGAGAAGTCTAATTTGGAACTTGCTATTCAAATAACAGGGTCACCAGGACAACATTCCTTCTGGAGGCTGTAGGTCAAATCTGGTTCTGTGCCTGTTCCATCTTCTAGAAACTCCTTGGCTTGTTACTTTCCTCCCCTGTCTTGAAGGCCAGAAGCATCCTGTACATGTTGATACCTTACCTACAAGATATCACTTTGAGACTGAATCTTGAGTATTTTTTTTCTGTGGCTGTTTCATTATGTCTTCATATTTTAACATTGTTTTCACATTTCAAAACCAGGCTGTGTATCTACAATTGACAGCAGAAGGGTCATGCTGAAAGGTGGTCTTCACTGCCCACACCCATGCAGACTGAGGGGGGTCGTGGAAGGTTGTTTGTCATTTTGCTGATGCCTTATTGAATTATTTTGATTCACAGCACAAAGTGTGGATGAACTTTACTTAGTGTGGTTCCCTAAATATTATGCAATATCACCAAAACATTACTCATGTTTCCACAATGAAGAAAAAAAAAATCCCTGTACACACAGTTCAGGTCAGCATAGGAGAGCTGAATTTCAGTTGTCAAGAGATCTAGAAAGAAATCAAGATCCCTTCTACATTGCTTGTTTGCTTTTGTTTTTCACTTTTTGGAAAAGAAACAACCCAGAGTCTTTCAAAACCTAGCAAGGGTTTTATTTTGTTGTTGAAAGCTACACAATGAACTTAGAGGCGGCCAACATCTAGGTAGGGGAATCTGGTGTAACTGACACTCACATCACAAAGGACTGTGCCTCAGTCTCCAAAGGGGGGTTCAAGAGGAGCTGCTTAGCAATCCTCAATGTACAATTTAATTAATGAGAAAAAAATCTGTTTAATCAAATAGGAAGTGTAGACAAAGCTAGGTATTCTTTAAATATGCCTCAAGTTCAAAGTCAATCTCAAACATGCAAAAACAGGGAAATTCCCCCAAAGAGCAGCTCCTCACCATGAGGCTCTGCCCAGCTGCCTGTGGCCAAAGCAAATAATAAGAATCTTTAATATTGGACATTTTCTCTAGTAGTAAATAAAATAATTTTTGTGCATGCCTACTGTTCCCCCACCAAAGAATCCTTTTTTTGTTGAATCAGCAAGGTAATTCAAGGAAATATTTTATTTATGACAGTTTACTTATGACACCTCTCACAGAAATCATCTCAACACATCGCAGAAAGAACATGTAACCAGGGACTTTCATCTACAGTGGTCCATTATTCCCTGGGCCCACTACCAATAGTGACCTATAACCAGCTCCTGTGGGCTCTTCAGAACCATTGTGCACCTCTTTCCCACTTTGTGTTCAGTAACATCTCAGCAGTAGCCTGAAATGGACATGGTGAGAGAATTTACACCACAGAAATTGGCAAATGCTCTAAATCCAAAATTTACCTTTTATTCTTCACTTTTTTTTAGAGCTTGTTGTTAAGCATTTACTAGCACAACACTGACCTGCATTGACTTTAAAACTGTCTTCTGTAGAGACAGATATACTATGCTATATTACTGTGCTTTGCTTTATTGTGCTTCACATATATTGTGCTGTTAAAATTGAAGGTTTGTGGCAGCCCTGCTTGGAGTAAGTCTGTCGGTATCATTTTTCCAGTAGTTCAAATGATCATCAGCATTTTTTGGCAATAAAGTATATTTCAGTAAGATATCATTGTTTCTTTATATATAATACCATTGCATACTTAATGACACAGCATACTATAAATATAACTTTATATGCACTGTAAAATCAAAAAAGCATGTGCCCCACTTTATTTTGGTATTTGTTTCAGTCTGGTAGCCTGGAACTGAACCCACAATATCTCCAAAGTATGCCTGCATATTGGAATGGGCCATTATCTCACATACTGTTGTTCAGTGGGACCTTGGGATTGGGACCTCAGATTGATCCCCTGAAGCTTTTAACATCTCCATAATTAAAATAAAAAGATTCCTATCTGTTACTAAATAAGAAGTACTTTTCAGAATATAAGAACAGTTTCTTTTCTTTATTTCATTGATATATCCAAGGACTTAGCAACACATGATAGATGCTCAATGAATATTTACTGGTGAATGATTAAGAATTGTCTAAAGTTAAAACCACTGTCCTCCTGTAGGCAATCCCACCAGGCTTTCTCTGTCATCAATATTATAAATTCTTCACAGAAAGAAAGCTCCTCTCAATAACTCTTTCTGTATTCTCATAGTAGTTCTAAAACCCCTATATTATAATCAGCTACTTTATTATATACAGATGTTCCCAGAAATCAGGGTTAGAATTTTTGCCTTGTTTAAATGTCTATTTACTTTTTAAAGGCAATATTTCCACTCTTTTTATGATTTAGCTCATGAAGGCTTTGCATGGGAGCTGGAGGACTTGACTTTGTTCCTCAGCAGCAGTGCAAGTCCTTTGCAGCAGTAATATGATAATTGACACTCCCTCCAAGTCTTACCTCTGCCTCGTGTCATCAGCCCTGGAGAGAATTCAGGTTCAGTATATGTTTGTTTAAGGAAAAACCTGGAGGAACTTCAGCAAAGCCCCACAGAGGAAAATCTGGACTTCTTCCTAAAACATTGCCTGCCTCTGCCCTCCACACATATGTAGTAGCTTTTAATCTTTGACTTGGCACTAGTCACCTGTCAAAGCAAATCTTTCTTAAACAGGCTTAAGCAGGAAGACAGGTCAAGTCTTTATTTTGACAGGATCTGTACAACTAAATGAGGCTCACCATGTCCTAGCCCTTGGCCGTCCCCTCTCGTGACTCCAAAATAACCTGAGCTCCTTTGATGTAACAAGCTTTAGGAAGTTCTGCCAAAGCAATTGACTGATCTTTCCCAGGAAAGCCAATAAATGTATTAATGATGATGATCAAATTAAATAGATTTTCTTGGATATTCCTGTCACTACTGGCAGAAATAATATGGAACACCCTGACCTCAAGAAAAACAGGCCTTGAAGATTCTTTGGCTGATTGCAGGGGCTTTACTAAGAGGGGCCTGTGCTAAGAGGTTTTAAACTGCTAACAGCAGCACAAGGGCCACCATATTTCAGTCATCATGAAATAAACAGCAAGCTTCCACACAGGAGCCAGCACACCCAGTATTGACTCTCAGTGGAAACTCCCTAGGGACCCAGGGTTGCACAAAATTCAACAGGAAAAAAACAGCACAACATCCTCTAAACACTCTTTCCCCACTACGTGGTTCTGTAATCTTTGAACTTGCTAACTTCTGCTTGCAAAACCAATCTACTGTGAAGATGTTTCACAGAAAGTAGTTTTAATTGTTATACTGGGCAGCTTCTTCAGGGATAGTTGGAAGTCAGAGAACTGAACATTCCAGAACTCTCTGTCTCAAGTGTGGGGCCGATCAGCCAAGACTCTGGACAACAATTTCCTAATCAATCAAGGTCAAAGCTTAAGGCACTTGTTCAGATTGTGGAGGTGTATATTTCTGTGCGTCTTATGTATTTGTGTATTTACAGGATCCTGTCCCCGAGGACAAGGGAAGGAATGCTGCCTCCTAGTGGGAGAGAAAGGAAAAGGAGAGAGAGCCATCAGCAACAAGCTGGAGGAGAATCTCAGATCCTAGATTGAAATATAGTCTCTGCTCTTCCCTGCTTTTGAGGGATCTGACTCTATACAAGATATACCCAAGATCTCTTTCTAAAGGTTTGTACAGCCTTTCTTTGTAGCCCATTTGAATCTACCGTCCAACATTTTTTTTTAATCATTTCCTATATACTCAAATATGTGTCTGGAATCACAGAGGATGCCAAGGAAATACTAGGCAGGATTTTCGCCCCCAGAGTGTGCATGTATGTTTCAGTTGGAGTGACTAATCCGCACCTGAAAGCCATCAGTAATAAGCAAGTCTTCATCTGGATGGCTCCATCCAGCTGACAAGGGTGTTATTTTCTTCCTAACTCCTCTGCCCACAGGAGCAAGCTGCAACTCCTTTACTTATCTTTGCAATCTGGTCTCCCACGCCCCGCCAGCCCACCCTCGGCTTAGCCCCATTTCTTGCTACTTCTCTCCTACATCCCATGTTTCAACCACCCTTGGGCCTGGCTTCAGAGTGGGGCCTCCAGGGAGCCAACCTCTAAGACTTTCTTGTATGTCACTAGCAATCTAGCAAGACATAGTGGCAGAATTGTCAGAAGTCCTCAGGGAGAAAAACTTAGGTGTGATCCTGGGTAAACTACTGAGAAGGGTCAGGAGCGATATCCCCCATGGGCAAGCTCAAAGAACATTTCAGAATTCTAGTTCTGAGGAGGGTGGGCCCACTAACTACAGAACTTTGCTCAGTGAACCAAGAGTGGACTTGCTTGGGAAAATTGTTAACTACTGCATGCCACCATCAGAGAGCCCTCCGTGTCCAGCATTGTCACACCTACCCTCTCCTCTGAACAAAAACTGGAGAAAATCTGTTAAAGGGGCACCTAATCATGAGTCAGCTCAGAGTGAGCTCATGACTTAACCACCTATGGTTCTCTGAACCTCCTAGGTTCTCTTGTGCCTCTGTGCTTTTCACAAGTTTTCCTGGGACCTCCCCATTGATATTCTATGCCAAGTTCATCTCAATACTCAACAAAACTTTTTCTTCCTCTGTAGAATCTTCCCTGAATGACACTATGTGCTAGCCTAGCCAAGTCTGTATCAGGTGCCCAACTTTGGTGTTCCCGTCGTACTTGATGCACACCTCCTACCATCAACTACACTATCATAAACTTTTGGTGCATCTGACCCCTTCACTGGGATGAAGACTCCCTAACGGGATGATTTGTGTCCTATTTTTCTATGTCCCCTTGCTTCTGCTCTTAGAGCGTATTCATGCCCTTTTTTAAGACAAAGAAAGAGGAGATCATTGAGAATGCCTGAGTAGTTGAATTCATAGAAAAAGCCCTACGTTGGTAAGTGGGACTTGAAGGGCAGGGGAAGGTCCTGCCTCCAAGAGAACGACGGTGAGCAAGAATATGTGAAAGAAACAGCAGAGGCACGAGCCCAGCTGTGAGAGGCAAATGTTTTCCATACATCTGATGAAGAGCAAACAAAATCTATTTTCTGTTTCTTTGTCCTTCCCAGAATGTCAAAGGGATATAAATATGGTATAATTTGTTACTGGAATTGTAAGCAGACGGGAACTTTAGCTGCAGTTCCATTTCTGAAATCAACAGGGCTTATGGACTCAGAGAGAACTAGTTATTCCCCCGTACATCCTCCTCTCCCAACTCCCTGAAAAAGAATCTTGCTCAGTGGATGTGTGCAGCAGGAGATGGGTAGCTAGACATTAGCCAGCATGGTGGGTCCTTGGCCTCTGTAACTACAGCTGTCACCCACAGGCCTCATCTTACTGCTGGTGGCCTGTCCCTTAAGCACCAGATGGAAGATTATTTTGCAGATAATGTAAAGATTACTTTGGAGAATGGCGCTGGGGGCCGTTATCTGGTTAAGTGATTGGGGGAGAATGGAAAGAATTGAGCAATTCCTCCGTTTTGGAACAAGATTATTCTGAGATGGAAAAATGTCAGATAATACAACTACCCAGACCAGAATCTTCTGTTTCTTGAGATTTTGGAAAGGAGGACAGTGGGCAAAGAAAAAGAGGGACATATTTTCTCTTAGAGTCAAATGATAAGAAAAACAATTATGAGAGATGGTTCTATGGGAAAAAAAACCAGCTTATAGACCATGTTTCAAGATAGAAAGCATCTCGTTTATACACTTACACTACTTCACATGGATCTGCAAAGCAGATAAAGCTATATTTAAAAAACTAAACTTAAGATCTACAAGAATCTTAATTTAAAAAAAAAGCAATGATTGTTCTGTGATTAAATGAATCACACCAAATGAAAAAGCTAATACTATAAAACTTCTAGGAGAAAATCTTTGTGAGCTTGGGTTAGACCAAGATTTCTAAGACTCAGCAACCAAAAGGATAAATGATAAAACAAAACAAACAAACAAAAAAATCAACTGGACTCGTCAACCCTGGAAAAAAAAAAAGAAGAAGAAAAAAAAAACCCCTCTTCTTAAAAATGTCAATTCCGTTGATTTATTTATTTCAACTATTTACTACCCATTATGTACCACCACCCTTTTAAGTGCTGGATTATGGCAATAAATTAGATTCCCTCTAATTATACTGATTTGAAAGAAACTGGACTGGAACAGGAAAATGAACACTTTAGAGCAATTTACAATTAGGAATAACACAAAGCATAGAAATTTTTATTAATCAGATAATTTCTAATGTATTTTAATTTTTTTCCATTTAAACCCATAGACAAGATCTAATACCAAGAAATGATATTGATATTCTATGCCAAGTTCATCTCAATAGTCAACAAAAACTATTTCTTCCTCTGTAGAATCTTCCCTGTATGACACTATGTGCTAGCCTAGCCAGGTCTGTATGTGTTGCTCCCCTTGTTCCCCCAAGGAATGGTGGAAAATGCTGAGGAACAAGAACACACCCAATAGACTGGTCAGTTGGTCTTTGTCGAAGTTCATGCCTTTGGGGTAAGAATTGAAGAAGGTGGATGCAGGATAAAGAATAGTAGTGCTGGGGTTGGGTTGTAGCTCAGCGATAGTGCACTCGCCTAGCATATGTGAGGCCCTGGGTTCGATCCTCAGCAACACATAAAAATAAATTTAAAAATAAAGGTATTGACAACTACAACTAAAAAGTAAATATTAAAAAAAAAAGAATAGTCGTGCTTTGGGGGATAGTCTGAGACCACATTTCACTCCATATTATTGTACTATGGGACTCTAGAGTCAGGCAGATCCAGATTTGAAGACTGGTTTCTTCTAACAGTTGTGGGATCCCAGACTCTAATGAAAATGTCTATTTTATAAAGTTATTGTAAGAAGTAAAACGGGAGTAAATATAAAGTGCAGGGCACATAACTGGACCTCAATAAATGGAAGCTACTGTTGCATAATGATGATGATGGTGACCATGGTGATGATGATAAAATCCAGTCAGGTTCCAAAAGTTCACCAGGACTAGGTAGCCCCTTGTTATTTTGGGGAAATGTGGCTCCTCCGCGATGATAACCTGAAGATCTATGGGAGGAATGTGTGTACCTCCCTTTGTTCCCCCATGGGATTCTTATGACAAGTCTCTTCAGTTACCCTGAACTGGACTTTGTATCCCTCTCTAGGTCGTACATCCGAGCTGTTTGTTTCCAGTAGAGGTAAAATGCATTTGCCATTCCTAATTTAAGGCTTCAGAAGACATCCCTTTCAGACCTTCAGGAAGCGTTTGTTTTTCCTATAAGGCTAATGGCCTGAGTCCAGCCTGAGGAGGAGAGGACTGGGGGTTTTAGAGGGGGCTTAGCCTCACCACAGTACAAGCGTATTTCCTAAATAATCAGTCACTAGTGGATTTTGTTTTGATTTAGTTTAACTCTGTTCTTCTGTTTATTCTATACTTGAAAATAAACTATCAACCCTTGACTCAACTTACAGGATTTCTTAAAAATAGGTTTTTGACTTTTCAGATCCTAGAGTCACATACCCCTGCCCCAACTTAGAATTAGAGATGTTGCTCCTTGGGTTAAGAGGACTTTGGACTCTTTCGGACCAGGAAACAACTCCATGAGACAGACAGAAAGAAAACTGGTCAGGTTAACGGTCTGGCTTCTGATTCCACTATAGTTACTAATAGACTCAACTGAACAGCTGTTGAAAACCCAGATGACAGGCAGTGGCCTTGACCAAGGACCTCAGAGTCTTTGCAGCATTTGAGTTAAACTTCCACAGGGCATTTGAATGTGCAGCCAAGACTGAGAACCTTTGTCCCAAAGTGCTTGGGAAATTTGTAAAATATCTCTGGCACCCTGATCATTGAAGCAATGATGTTATGGGTATTTTCTTGACAGAGCTTTGGGTTAAATGTTGTTATAATGCTGTTCCATTCCTGGGACAGTTCTCTCACAATGAATAAAACCCCACCTTTTGAATGTCATACTGGAGTTTTACATACTTGAGAAAATTATAAGGTCTAGAACTTTACCTTACCTATAACACAAAATACTTCAGCATGATTTTAATTAATATATATTGAACACCTAAAAATTGTATTTTGTTCTGTCTAAAACTTTTCCTAGGAGTAGCCAAATCACTAATATTGACGCCGCTTGTGGTATTTGAGTAGTTAGCTTCTGTAAATGTGCCTTTCATGGTGCTCATGTGTGCAGGTGCAAAGAATCTGATAAATTCCAATGTGTTTGTTTACTTTTTGAAATACATATTCCTTACAAGATATATCCATTTCATGTTTCTTTATCATAAAATGTTGATTGTCAATCACTGTGGTTAAGTGGGTTATTCAGTCTGTGGATTTTATTTCAGGATAATAATGTAATACTATGAAATATTCCTTATAAAAATGGATCTTAAAGTTGACATAGGGTCAAGATCTTCTGACCTTGGAATTCCCTTCAGGATCTGTAATCAGGAAGCTTCAGTGAGTATCTCTGTTTATTGAGCATGAAAGTTCCAGCAAGCCTGTCAACAGGGGCGTTAACTTTGAGCAAATTACTTCACATTTCTGTGCTTCAGTTTCCTCATCTGTAAAAATGGCCTAATAATGGTACTTACCTCACAGCTGTCAAGAGAATTAAATGAGATCAACCATGAAAAGCATGCTGCAAAGCTTCTGGAATGTAGGAAGTACTAAATAAAAGGCACCTGTTTTGATGATGATGTAGATGATGATGATGATGTTTTCGATGACGACAATGATGACGATGACGATTCTGGTAACTATGATTAATTAATTAAGTATGATTCAGAGACAATCCAAAGAATCTTCAGTCCCTTCCTCAGCCAAGTACGTCATCCTTACACTTTGCTGCTGTTTTTCTGGAGGTTGAATACTGCCCAGTGCTATGCTTGGGACACCTAATCTCGGTTGAGAATCCCTTGATGATCTCTACTTCTTCATTCCTGTAGTTGTTTTGAGCAGTATCCATGGAGGATGGATGAGGACTTTCTTTTCTTTTCTTTTTTTTTTCTAGTGACTGATAAACTCTTCGAGGTTTATCATGATGGTGTCAGCGTTTCTAGGAGCTCAGAGACTTTGCTATGAGAATGTGACCCTCCTGCATCTTTCAAAACCTAGCCAGGAGCCCTTTTTCTGTTGGTGTGCTTTTTTTACCCCATTCTTCACTTCACTTACCTGATTTTCTTCATTCCTGTCTCTATGAAAATTTAGTGAGAAAACTGCCTTCTCTTTGGAGGAGTCTAATCTGGATATTCTGTGCTACCATGGGGACAGAAGGCCTAAAGCTCACTTGGGGGGCCATGCAGTAGGCTCAATGCCAGCATCATAGCATTGTTCCAATGTTCCACCCAACTCTGACTTTGCTGACCTGTAATATTTGCAAGTGAAGAAACTCTGTTTTTCTCATTCAAAAAGTGCATCTCGGGCTGGGGATGTGGCTCAAGCGGTAGCGCGCTCGCCTGGCATGTGTGCAGCCCGGGTTCGATCCTCAGCACCATATACAAACAAAGATGTTGTGTCCACCGAGAACTAAAAGAATAAATATAAAAAATATTAAAATTCTCTCTCTCTCTCTCTCTCAAAAAAAAAAAAAAAGTACATCTCCTTTGTCACTGTCAGGTACATCCACTCTCTATGTTATAGAATCTGTCAAATTTTGCAGACATAACGAACCAGATGGGTCTCTCTCTGGGGACAGTCCACTTTGGAATATAATTCTTCACCATGAGGAGCTTCAACACCATTGTAGGAGTGTTGGGTAGAGGCCCATATATAGTCGCAGACTTCAAGCTATAGAGGCACTGAAAAGCATCCAATATTTTGGAGCAAGACGACATACAAACCATTCTCAGAAATGAAGATACCACAATCAGTAACAAATCAGTAACATAATGTGCTCTAATAATAGAATTTCTTCTTATTTCACTAAAGGAGAGTCAGTATTAACTATTTATTAATAGCCAGGAATAATATTAAGTTTTTTTATTCCTTGTCTTAACTAATGATCATGAAAGCCTTTTGAGTTAGGAACAAAGATAACCCCTTACAGATGGAGAAATTGAAGTTCAGAGAGGTTAAGGCACCTGTCCCCGTAAGTGGCATGGTCTCCATTCAGGCCTAGAGTGTCTAGCTCCAAAGGCCAGGAGACTAGCTACTATGCTTCAAGCTACATTGCTTCACCTGAGCTCTTATGCCATCGTTTGTACCTACTTCTGGAATAACCTTAATTTCTCCCAAAATTGTGTTTGACCTCCACTAGCAGCACTTTCTAGGGGAAATACAATGTGAGCCACAAAAATGAGTCACATTTGTCATTTTTTAAAACTTTTTTTTTTTTAGTTGCCAATGGACCTTTATTTTATTTGATACGTGGTGCTGAGGATTGAACCCGGTGCCTCCCACATGCTAGGCAAGCGCTCTGCCACTGAGCCACCCCAGCCCACATTTGTCATTTTAAATTTTCTAGTAGCCACATTTTGAAAGATAAAAAGAAATGGGTGGAATTAATCTTAATAATGTATTTTTAAGCTAATATATCTAAAGCCTTACTATTTCAACATGAAATCAATATAATAATTTACACTTTCTTTTTGGACTAAGCCTTAATCATCCGGCATGTACTTCACACTTAGAGCATTTCTCAGCTCTGACTGGCTGCATTTCATTGCTCAATAGTCACCTGTGGCTAGTGTTACCAAATTGAACATCACAAATCTAAATCCACATATCCCAACCTTCTTAATAAACTTGGGGGAATCTTTTTTTTTTTAAGAGAAAGAGAGAGAGAGAGAGAGAGAGAGAGAGAGAGAGAGAGAGAGAGAGAGAGAATTTTAATATTTATTTTTTAGTTCTTGGCGGACACAACATCTTTGTTTGTATGTGGTGCTGAGGATCGAACCCGGGCCGCACGCATGCCAGGCGAGTGCGCTACCGCTTGAGCCACATCCCCAGCCCCACTTGGGGGAATCTTTTTGAGAATCTTTCAAAGGATAAAAAGGAAAAAAATGTCAAGATGAAAAGTTTGCTTTTAGTTATTTTTTAAAATTTATTCCAAGAAAAAAAAAATTAAAAGGAATAAATTGCACCATTTTCTTCTTTAATAGTCCACTTAATTGCCTAAAGCAGATGAGAAGCAGAGTGATGGCACCTACATGGTGATATGACATGGATCAGATGTCCCCATACTCTTAGAGAAGCTCTGGGCACCATGTAACTATCAGGAAACTCAATCAGACAGGGCCACCATCACCTCCCAGTCATTCTACTCACATTCACATACCCCCATGCTCCAGCTTGAAAGGAGAGGTGCAGGAGCCAGACCACACCAGCAAGGCACAGACGCTGCCTCGTGTCTGGAGGACACACAGAGACCTCAACACCTCCCTTCATTGTCAGTCCCTGTCCTCAGACTTGCACATGCATCAGAATCACCTGGAGGGCTTGCTGTGCCCCACCCAAGGATGGACGGGAGAGAACGTGCATTTCTAATGAGTTCCAAGGGTCTTGGTGCTCTAGGTCAGAGGACCACCCTTGGAAAAACCAAAGTTCATCCCTCAATTATCAATGTATCGTTCATGCAATAGCAAGAACAAATCTAAGAAAAGGCACAGGCACGTTTTTCACTCTTCATGAGACAAATATGTTACAAAAAGCTCTGCCCTTATCCCTGATGCCAATCCAGTAATAAGAACACAGTTTTGAGAAAAGGAAAAAGAAGTATGGCTTTGCTAGCCAAGAAAAAGACTCCTGTCCCAGAGGCTGGTTTGCCCATCAGGGAGAACAGAGGGTTTTTAAAAGAAGTGATTCAAAGGCTACATTCCAGGTGTTCCTGCAGGGAGATTATAATTCACTTGTTAATTTGGAAGAGGAAAAAACATGTCCATTTTTAAAATAAGTTTTGTGGCGGAGCAGCAAGAGCTATGCTATATTCAAAGCATGAGGTGAACACTGTCTCTAATATACTTTAAATAGTAGACGTGTTTGGTTCTTTCTCTCCTGCCCCTCCTCATTTCCTCTAATCCGTGAAATAATGAAGTCACTGTGCTGGGGAAAAAAAAAGATAGAGGGTAAAAAATAGGGGGTAAGAAAACTGATGGAAAAGAGGGAAAAAGGGGGCTGAGAGAGATTCCCAGAGTTCTGGGTGGCACAGCAGCAGGCAAGATCTGTGCTCAGGGAGGAAAAGGGCAGCCTAGCCACTTCCAGGTCCCCTTAGGTGAGACTGACACACAGACTAGAGCCAAGGTTGCTCCTCATTCTTTTCAACCCAGTCACAGAGGTAGCTTAAGCCGAGATTATTTGCTCTTTGCTCTTCAAGAGGGGAAGCAGTGTTTGAATGGCATGTGACCGTGGGAACTCACCAACCACAAGAACCTTGGATGCCCCTTTCCTGGGATCATACAGTGCTTCCCTCCCTCTCAGCCAAGCCGGGTGTTTTCATCTCTGACCTTTCAGGGCACCTGGATTTTAAAAGGAGGAGCATGAAACTTGCTGAGTTGCAAGCAGCTGGGAATTTGGAATGTGTCTCTGGAGATACACACTGAGCCTGGCTCAGAACTTCCAAGAAAACTCAGTGGGAGGGAAGGAAAAACAGTGCAATGACATGACGCCTTGCGGGGCCCGCCTTGGCCTTGCTGAATTGTCCAGAGCTTGCATTCCAGCTGCACTGCAGTGACCCAATGTTCCAGTAAACAAGGAGGGGATGGGATGGACAGACCTCAGATCAGGCTACCCCAGAGCTTTTAAATAGACACAGGGGGAGGTCAGGGGAGGAGGCTGGCTTGTGCACTTCCTGGATCAGCGAGGCACACCCACACCACCCCCCCCACACACTCCTATGCACATACTCATGTCCAGTGGGTCCCAGACAGACACACACAAAAAACCCCCAGATGTCCCCGCCTTACAAGGGTCTGAAATTGGTGATGTCCTTGGGGACCTTCCCAGGAACCCCAAACATGAGGGCTGCAAAGGGTAAAGTAAGTAGTAGACGCTGACTCAAGCCAAGCCAGGCTGCTGACTAATGGCATCCTCTCTCTAAGCAATACCCTTGTCTTCCAGAAAGACAGAGCCGCAGCAGACGAGCACAGTCATTCTGTCCACTTCCCCATTCGATCTCATGGCTTTTGATCACAGCCTGACAATCCTGTGATTCTTCCGTTTGATTCTGCCCTCCCTATATTCTCCTCTTTTCTCCTCTGACTCTTCTTCCATTCCATCAGCCAGTAGATCAGCCTAAGTAATAACCAGAGGGGCTTAGAAAAACACAAGGAAGAGTTAGTGACACTGGCTCAGAGGGCAAAGTTCTGAAAGTTCCTGCCCAAGGGTGTCCCTCTGCTTGGAGTGATTTAGGAATTTGTAGCCCAAATGGCATCTGTAGATTCCCCCTTTCGTATACATGTGACTGATGTTCTGTATTGTACATGACAAGGTGGCTCGGGACTATGCAAACCCAGCTCTGAACAACCCATGGCAGACTCTTATTCCTCACGATTTCCTTTCCCAGAGATTGTGCTTTTCCATCAAGGCAGGTGACGGATACACTCCAGCCTCCTCTGCTGCAGCACCTCTGATCTCTGTCTCAACATCTCTGATCATCACAGGGGTGCTGTGGAGAGCAGTTCCAGGGCAAAACTATTAACCAGAGCACCAGGCCCCTGCATGAGCACTGGGTCTACTTATCACTCTGTGTGTCCCTCCCATCTTTCACAGCCTGCCCTGGTTCACGAGTGACTTGTTTTTGCTGACTGATTTGTCTTTTCCCTTTACTGGTGTTGGGCTACTATTTCTTCCTTTTCTTGTAGAGTGTCAAATTCATGTCATATCTGCGTCTATTTGGGGAGTAGGAAAATGGCGGGTTTAAGAAATTCCCTCCGTAAAAAGCTGTCTGACTCCTGCATTAGGGCTATGAGTGGTGTGTTCGGGCAACCTCAGCAGCTTGTCTTCAACTCCAGACCCTTGCTTCATTCTGAATATGAGTGTCCAGTGAGCATTGTCAGAGTTGACTCACCAAATGGTCACACCCAGGTTTTGCAAAACAGCATGAAAAACGGTGATGTTTGCCTGAGTTCTCATGGCAGGAAAAGGCCTCATGCTGTTTCCTTAATAATAATGACAACAGGATCCGCCTCCTTTTTGTCTCTCCAGTGTGCTTATGGCACCGTGGTGCGAAGTTTGTCTGATGTGTATAGCCACCTACTAAGGTACAGTCATCCTCACTTCATTGACTGGGACTGTAAATTGAGGCCAGAAAGGGGAAGAAGCCAAGTATTATCCAAATCCAGCTACACTGGGTCCCAGAGCCCACACTGCACTCCACCAACCACACACCGCTTTGCAAACCCAGCTTGGACTCTGAACAACCCCTTGTGGACTCTTATTCCTCACAATTTCCTTTCCCAGAGACTCTGCTTTTCCATCAAGGCAGGTGGCGGA